GTTTTTATAAGCTCCGAAGAGAATTTTTTTTTTCTCACCGAAGAGGATAGAGCTGATCCACTTCTGTCATATCCTACCTGGCTCTCAAAGTTGTCATTTTTGGTTGACATCACATCCCACATGAATGAATTGAACTTGAAATTTCAGGGAAAGGATAACCTTATCTGTGATCTCTACAGAATCATCAAAGGATTTCGGAGAAAGCTATCATTGTTTGAAACACAACTGGAAGGAGGAAACTTCTCTCATTTTCAGTGTTTCAAAGAGTTTCATGCTTGAATCGCAGATGTCAAACCACGAGTTTCCGAAGAAGATTATTAGTGACTTAAATAACTTCATCTACTGTAAAGCCACTGCTTTGTTTTTATAGTTTTGAAACAATAAGTAACTGCTAATACAATACAATCATCCGTAATGTTAAATGTTTTTTCGTATTTGTCATAACATCATTTTAAGTACCCATATGATTTGCATGTGCAGATTTATCTGTGCATGTGAACCATTGCAGACGTGTGGTTTTTCTCACAAAAAGACCTGTAAAGGCATTTTCTAAGTTCACCAATCCTTAATGACATATTTCAACTAGCTTAAAGTCCTTTATTCAACTAATAGTAGAATATTACAAACCTACACAATAATTAGCTATTATATGTTTTGTTTGTCTGTGAGCATTTTACTTTTCTCTTCTTCTACAGAGCGAGCTAGGGCCATGACATTTCCTGCTCCGAACCCACGTGCTCCATGGCGCTGTAACACCTCCAAGAAGAAAGTCTCTCTGTCAAACAAAGGCAGCGTGAAGATCTGCATCAAGTACCTAAAATTACCATTTATATTGAAATCAAAATCACTGCATATATAATACAACATCAACATTTTACATAAAAGACCTTTACATTATATTTTCAAAGCTTCTTAAATCTGGATCATACTATGAAAAATAAATTCCTTGTAATAGCTATAAAAAATCTCCACCAAAAAATAAATTTGCCATAACATTCCTCTTCATATATAATGGTTTATTATACGTTTTGAACTTAATTTTATTCTGTTTATGGTTAAGTACCTGCTTAAAAGGCTTATGAAAACTAAAATTATGGGTGAATAAAGAAATATGTCACATCTCAGATTTTCAAGGATGTGTTACATATCTGATTGTTTGTTAATTTCCGGTGTAAATTCTTTCCGAGGAACTTCAGCGATACAAGTCCTTTCTTGATTAAACTAGTTTATTCTCTCTCGATACAACTTTGTAATACACAGAATTTCCAGTCACTTTAAACTTAACAACCTTTATAACACGCTCTATAAATCACAGTGTTTCACACACTTTACTTACTGTGCTTACTGTTCGCTTGACTCATTTATCTATCTATCTGCCTATATCGTGGCACGATACAAGGGCGTCTAGCAATTACTCGGACATTCGCGGGGTTCCCCGATAATTCTAGAAACTCCAGTGCACATGCTCCCAGCGTTACGCGACTTCCAGTGTCGTAACACTGCCCCTTCCTTAGTATTGTTCGTCCCGAACAATAGCCACTTACATTTAACCAATAGATAGTTAACAATAACTTAATTAAATGTACAGAATTTACAAACACAAAATTAAAATATAACAAAGTCTATTAATTTTACAGGACGTATCTTCTTTCGTACTGGTCTCTGTCTCATTGGCTCATACTTCACGTGGGGTTCATCTGCTCGATCAGGAAATGTCCCATTATCGGTAGAAGTCACATCAGTGATAGTAACTTCATTAACGGCTTCACTGTTTTCCTTCTCAAAACCGGGTACAGTTTCTTCTTCAACAGTGGCTTTTTCAGGTGACACGTCTTCAGCAGCATCATTTGTTCCATTGTTCACTAAGTTCCAACTGAAATGTCCTGGACCATGATAATGCCAAAGCCTGTTGGTATGCACCACCACCTTTGACTTACCTCGCCGACCACATTTTATTCGAAATTTCACGTCTATAAGACGATCCACTATGTCATATGGTACTTTCCATGGAGATGACAACTTAGGAGACTTCCCTTTGGTCTTCCTGGGATTATACAACCACACCTTGTCTCCTGGTACAAAGCTGACTTTGGTAGATCTCTTATCATAACATAGTTTCATGGAATCAGCAGACGTTTTCAAGTTTGAATGCACTTGATGGTGAATACCATCCATCCTTTCCAATAACACTTTCACAAACTCTGACACATTCTCAGGCAACCCTTCATAAGGTGGGCGTCCTGTTATCAGGTCCACTGGCACCCAAAGTTCCCGACAAACATCAGTTTTGCTGTAGTGTAACCAGTGGCTTCATGCTCTCTGTTCTATAAGCCATCAACAGTGGAGGGAGTAAGACATCCCAGTAATCTTGGTGGCTACTACAAAACTTTGCCAATTCCTGTCCCAGTGTCCAATTGTACTTTTCTACCATCCCATCAGACTGTGGGTGAAGTGGCGTTATGCTGGTCTTTCGTATGCCAAACAACTTTCAGCATTCATGGAACACAGCTGATTCAAAGTTACGGACTTGATCCGAATGCAGTTATCTTGTTATCAGGTCCACTGGCAACCGAAGTTCCCGACCAAACATCAGTTTGCTGGAGTGTATCCAGTGGCTTCATGCTCTGTTGTTCTATAGGCCATCAACAGTGGATGGAGTAAGACATCCCAGTCTACTTGGCGGCTACTACAAAACTTTGCCAATTCCTGTCCCAGTGTCCAATTGTACTTTTCTACCATCCCATCAGACTGTGGGTGAAGTGGCGTTATGCTGGTCTTTCGTATGCCAAACAACTTTCAGCATTCATGGAACACAGCTGATTCAAAGTTACGGGCTTGATCCGAAAGAAGTTATCTTGTTATCAGGTCCTCTGGCAACCGAAGTTCCCGACCAAACATCAGTTTGCTGGAGTGTATCCAGTGGCTTCATGCTCTGTTGTTCTATAGGCCAT